AGACATATATCATTTATTATAAGATGGCTATTTACAAATGATGCTTGAAAGATGACATGGAGTATAAAATTACATAAGTAAGTTATTTATATATAAATGTATTAATATTATATATGTGAAATAAGTTAACATCATATACTTTTATTCAATATTTGCTTGTTTACTTTTCTGCCTGGGTACATGTCTGCTGTGCATATGTTTGTCTGCATATTGTGAAGGTGCAGTTGCACATGCAAAGATGTATGTGTTTGTAGCTCCAAAAGTAATACTGAGTGTCTTTTTGGAGGGTTCTCCACCTTACACTTTGTGAAGATTTATGTGTCTGACCCTGCAGTTTCCAGTTTTGACTAGTTTGGCTAACCAAATTACTCAGGGAATTCTCTGTCTCTGTCTTATGTGCACTAGGATTAGATGCTGGTAGTCTTGTCTACTTATCTTTGTCCTGTGAGTTCTGGGCATCTAATTCTGGTCCTCATTCTTGGACACTAAGTGAAATATTGCACATGAAGTGTAACTCATTGATCAATATCCACAGCACCTTAGCTGTGCTTATTTATATTACATGTGAGCATACAGCCATGTGTCACTTGAAAATGGGGCATTGTTCTAGGACATATATGTATAGCCCATGTAGTTGTGAAACATGTGTTGTGAGAAATGCATCATTGGTGGCCCATTGTGTCAGTTTGTGGCCACGATGTTATTTACACCAGCTTTCGAAGGCACAGTCTCCTGCACACCTGCCCATATGGCATATAGAACAAACAACTTCTGGACAGCGGTCCTGCAGAAATGTTACCTTGAACAATGCAGGGAAACAAATCTCAAGGCAGGTGCTATGCCACTATGGCATAGAAAGTTTTCAGCACAGTTATACTATGACTAAAGGTTCGTGGTTAATTATAACATTATTAGTCAGCACGGGTGACTCTATTTGCATGATATATAATATATAGTGTGCATGCCTATGACGTTTTTAATTTAAGTTGCAATAAGGCACATGGAAATGTAAGAATACCTGTGAGGGTCTCATGTCCTGGACATAGGCAAAGTTTTGAGGAAAGAACTTCTAGAGAAATGCTGCCTGATTTTCTTTAAAGGGCATTGAAGATTCTGCCTCAGCAACAAGGTCAGGGAGTGGGTAACACCCAGGGAGAGAGGACAGGTAGAATCCACCTTGTGTCAACAGCTGCAAGGGGACACAGTGAGTGAATGATTGGAGGATGGTGCATGTAAAAGAAGTAGTTAGGTGCTGTCTGCAGGGCATCAGGCAGCAGGGCCACATTGGATTGA